TGCTCCGACATCATCTTAACAAAACTGCTATATTGGAACCGTGCTATTTTAATGGATCGTTTATAAAACTCGAACTAGCGGAGCAATTGAGGGTCCGCGCGATCATATTCGCAACGCTAGAAATGCGCATGAACAGTAAAAACCAACACATTCATAATATGAAATGAAAGAGGATTGAATTGCCTTTCGAATGACATGAATCCCACAAAACAGTATTTAAAAGAAGATGAGTAACGACCTGCCAAAAAGTACCTAAACTGTCACATTCAGTGGGACCGTGGCCTTAAACAGAACCAAAAACCGCTAAGTTTAGTGGGAAAACCCCTAAATTGGCAACACTGGTCACCGACTATAACGCTGCAGAGTAAAGCTCGATTTGGCTTCGAAGCACACCTGCAAGTTTTCACATAATTTGGGGGCGATTCCCCTTTCAGTTTGTATATAAACTGGGTGAATGTATTTTCATCAGTCCACATTGTAGAGAATTGCTGGTTTTCGCTGAAATTTTACAGGAAGGACATTGGAGTTAGGAAGCAGACATTTCATCCACTTTTTTCTCTCGATACCAACTATAAACAGACCATTTCTTAAATGACCGAGAAAAAATAAAAAGGATATATTGGCTGTCTCAATAAAAACTTTGTTTTTTTATGACTTCTTAATGTAATCCTTGAAAAAAAAATAATTATGTCTTTCTATAAATACAGATGGGCTATTCATGAGCGTTATTATGTCATTTTCAAGTAACGTGCTAACACGTATGTTGTTGGCAACTCCGAAAGCATCAGTGGCGGCTACACATTTTGCCTCCTACGAGACCTGCTACAAAAAGACAAATGCCACTGCCATCACTGAGAATCTGTTTTAGGGCTGGGTTTCATAAGAAAAGTGACATGTTACGCTCGACCGACACACATGTCAAGCTCATTGTATAAAGTAGTCGTTAGAGGTGCTATATTGCTTATATGTGCGTATGGGTATAACTAAAAAGAAAAGAAAACCCTTGGTCTTTTAGAGCGCAGCTCTTTGGCGCCCGTTTCCGGCTTGAGCGGCGTCGCCGTCGGCTTAACCGCGCGTTGCATTATGGAACGTTTCCCATAATGACGTCACACGTGACGTCACGAAGGTCACTTGTGAAGGTTACAAAGAAGGTCACAACCTTCACAGTGAAGGTCTAGACGCTAGACCTTCACGAGGGTCACGAGTGACGCCACGTGGCAGGAGGGAGGGAGGAAGGGGAAGGAGGAAGGGAGGAGGAGATGAGGAGGACAAGAAGGTCCTCCTCATACGCTCCTCTCCGTACCATCTCCCTCTCCTCAAGAGCTGCGCTTTAATACGGCATTACAGGGAGTTGTAAACGTACTTCGTGTTTTCACCAATTTTTTTTAGTTATATATATACTTAATTATAATCAATCTCTTCCCTCTTTGTTCGAAATGTATACTGTAAAAGACTAAATTTACGCGGAGACCTAATTTTCGCGAATTTCGCGAATCGCCTACAATTCGTGAAAAATACGCCCCGCGAACAATTCGGGCAATATGTGAACGCTACGGAAGCTACACTCGATTCGCGAAAATTAGAACCCGCGAATAACTTCAAATTTACAGCTGTGGCCCGATTCGCGAAAAGTTTAGCCCGCGAAAATTAAGTCGTTTACAGTATATATATATATTTCAAACGTAGAGGGAAGAGAGTGATTATTGAATTTATTGCGTTAAAGTTAGAGAAAGGAAAAGGGAAAAAGAGCTGGCGAAAAATTTGGCCAGGTGTGGGGATCAAACCCGACACCTTCGCCTATCCGGGGCGACGCCTTAACCGATTAGGCCATCCTGGCCACTGGTTTTCGGCGGACTCAATTCCCTTCTCCTAATTTTAATGCAATAAATTCAATAATCACTCTCTTCCCGCTTCGTTCAAAATATTACTACGGCTGCACTTGTTAATCTTCCCTCACTCCCAATATAGAGGGTGTTTTTTTATTCTTACATATTTGTTTAAAGAAAACGAGAAAGCTACACTAATGCGGTTTGTGCAGGTGGGTTATACGGCCAGGCGGACATTATGTGGGTGGCTATCTTTGGGACAAGTCGGCTAATTAATTAAAATTCGTTAATTAACTTTTTAATTAGTGGAAATAGAGATATGGTTCCAAATAGAAACTTGCTGAGCGTCATCCAAAACCCCTAAATCAGTCATTTTCAGAAAAAAAAACGTTCAGCTGTTGAGAAGCGTAGTAGCGCACTAAAGTTAGCACTCGTGGAGGAGGTACAAGGCAGGGGGGTAAAGGTGGGTGAGGAGGAGTGGCAAATCCCGCGCGCCGACATCCTGGGTCCCGAGTGAAAGATCGCGGAAGAGAGCGACAGAACACGAGAGAAAGAAACCAATGTTGCCAGCTGAAGTAGGACAGTCGCAATGGTAATCGCGAAGACTGAAAACTCTCAGCAATATAAACAGTGATAATTTAACGTTGCAAACTAAATTCTGAGCTATTCTAAGGTTTATAAAAAAGCAGCATACTCAAAACGCAGCATTAACTTCCCTTCTGTCGAAATCTCGAAAATCTGGTAGTTGCGCGATTTCGTATTTCCGGGCCCGGAAATACGAAACTAAACCAGATAACTGAAGCCGGTTACCTGGTTTAGTTTAGTGTTGACGGGAGGCCGTACATCTGCGTGCTATGCAAAAAGAAAGCTTCGAAAGGAACGCGAATATCTTTCCACCGGTAAGTTTCTGGATTGTTGAAGTTCATGAAACTGCTCTGATGATATATTTGCGAAATCGAAGGCAGTTGGTAACCATGTGGGACCCCGAGGGTCTACCTGCATACTCCGCCGCTTGCGGCAGCCAGAATGCATGGGAAAATGGCGGACCTTTTCCTCTAGAGTTAGTATGTTTGATCTCTATGGTACAAGGCTAGAGGTTGCGGTATGGCGCTCGCGAAATTTTTCCGTCTCTTATCCGCGACCGCTCTTATCTAGCCCCAGCCTTGTGCCTGCTCCAGAGTGGTACCTTCAGCGCAGTACTGCGCTTCTGACGCTCTCAAAGTCTTTCTAAAAATGCTTATCTAGGGGTTTTGGATGACGCTCAGCAAGTTTCTAATTGGAACCATATGTCTATTTCCACTAACTAAAAAGTTAATTAACAAATTTTAATTAATTAGCCGACTTGTCCCAAAGATTAGCCAGCCACATAATGTCCGCCTGGCCGTATAACCCACCTGCACAAACCGCTTTAGTGTAGTGTAGCCTTCACTTTTTTTAACAAATGTGCAAAAAAAAAAAAAAAAAAAACACCGTATGTACGGTGCAGTTTGTCCCTATGGGTTGGATTGGTACCCTATATATGTCTTGAAGACGGGCCCTTTCCGACACTGGCAAGCTGAAATGACGTGCCAAGTCACTGCCGCAACTCGGAACACGTATGAGCCTTAAATCAGCAACGGCAATCGTCTGCCCACTTAAACAAATTCGAAACTAACAGCACACAGCGGACGGGTCAAAAATTGAGGCCGCCGAAAACCAGTGGACGGGATGACATGCTCATAAAAATGATGCGAAACTTCTATTGTTCACTGTCATTTCGCAATGGGGATCCCCAGTCGGTGGACTGTCCACACACAGCTTCAGGACGTAGACTTTGAATCGTGCTGGCAGACAAGTCTCTCGCCGTGGACGGCGTCGCGCCTCTGATGATGATGACGTACAGGAGTAGAGGGGTGCGGCTCGGAGTCTTCGAAGCGTTGTAGTGGAGCGTTCGCTTACAGAAGCCGAGCGAAAGTATTCTGCAGGTTAAAAAGAAGCTCTCGCAATCCTATGGGCTTGTGAGAGGTGGCATGTTTATTTATGGGATCAACAATTCAGTATCCACACTGATCATCATGCTCTCTTAACATTAATGTTCACTCAAGAGACAGGTGTCCGTTCACGACGTATCAGTCGCTGGACGGCTAGACTTTTCAACTGTAGCTTCGTCATGAAGTACCGCAAGGTGTGACAATGTAGTCGCTGACGCTCTTTCTTGTCTTCTAGCTCCAGATACCGAAGATGGTACGGCTTTCGAAGAGAAAGTCGTATCCCTTCTCAATGTGTGCCACACGCAGAACGATTTCAAGAATGCAACGGTCAATGACATAGTTTTACCCTTGATCATTACTTATCTTTCAACATCAGGGCCATCGGAGGATAAACTACCCCTGACTTTAGACCGTACTTTGTTGTACGTGATCAGGGTCGCTAAACTCGTGGAACTCAAATATTCTTTGCGTTATGACGTAGCGCGGAGAGTGGCTGAATGAACGCCGCAAAATTTTCTCACAATCCCGCAGGTTCTTTTATCTTTGTGGCGTTTTTCATTGAAGCAGCGAAGAATCTCTACTGCTCTTTAGGCGCCGAAAAAGAGCAGCGCGAGGGAGCGCGCAGAGACGACCGTGGTTCATACGTGTGACGTCACGACAAACGTTGTCAGCTGCGACCAACATGTTTGATGGTTTCTAAAAAGCACGGCGGAGGCTTGGGGTAATTATTTTCTAAAATCTACACCGTCGAGTTTGAAAGTCTAATATCCGACGTTTCTTTCCTTTCTCTTGGCCCGACGGTGGCTAGGTCAGACTTTAGTCAGAACCAGCCGTGTGGCGTTGCCCATCTTCGGACGGATTTCCCCTCCTTGCGGATTTTGCCTCTAGGCATTTGACCTTCCCCCTCCCCCCCTCATCGGCTAAATAAAATAATTTTACTCCTTTTTTTTATTGCACACGTAGGCTACCAAAAGCGTCGGTGTAGTCGGCTTTTTAAGATTAGCGAAACTTGGATCATTGCCCATACCAGTACCAACTGGTATGGGCCTTCGGGCTTTCTGCTGTACTCCCGACTCTCCTGAGCCAAATAAATGAAATGAAATGAAATGCTTTCATCAACGGAAATAAGAGTAAAGTTGCCATTATTGACGATGATGTTTTAAAAACGCAATGACTTCAAGCTTCCATCGCACACAATCAAACTATGTCACCGCGTCGATTAACGTTCAGAGCTCAAGACATAACAGATGCGGAGGAGATCTCCATCACTCTAGCTGCCGCAGACCAAGACTCGCAAGCCATCATCACCGACTCGAGAGGGGCCTGCAGAAATATTGAACAGAAGTACATTCTTCTCTTTGCGTATTGCATCCTTAAATATAGCGACTACCTCGGGGCCCTCGCGTCTCCAACAATCGCCTCGGCTCTTGCTCACGTGGGTCTCGAAGGCAATGAAACGGCAGACACCGCCGCCCGCGCGCTCACTCTCCGGGCAACACCTTCAGACCCTTCCGAAACGGATCCCGAACCGAATCTGTCCCTCACTTTTCGAGAAATTACTCAATTATACCAATTCGGCCACGCAACTTATTCTAAGGCCTGTAAGGGCCCTACAAAGGCTGAGGAACGCACATCCTTCCGTCTTTACACCCAAACCCTGCTGTGCCCGACAGTTTTAAAACACTTTGATCCTGCCTATGCAGGAAAATTCCCGCACTGTGCGGAGAAGTCTTCGGACATCTTCCACATGATGTGGGCATGCCAATCAACCCCGAACCTTGTCTCAAAACCCAACTTCACCCTGGAGGACTGGCAAGCAGCCCTGCTTGACTGCTCCAACCTGGAGAGCCGGAAGGTCCTGGTCGACCGGGCCCGAGCCGCGGCGGTCGCCATTGGGCTCCTTTGTTGAGGAGCCCACCTATAGCCGGTGGCAAGTCAAGAACGAAATCGAAGCTCCTCCCACATCTTTCCACTTTAGTGGAGCGAACGCTGGAGGGGAGACGACCTCATCTCCACCGTTCGTTCAGCTGAAGTGGAAAGGGGTAGGAGGAGCTTCCACTTTGTTCTTGACCTGTCACCGGCTGTAGTGTTCGTGAGAGGTGACCCCCTCCGGGCCACCTCAAACTTGCTCTCTGATATACCTGTAATAAAGTTTTTCAGACAGACATACCGTCGATTCCAAGACGCACCATCGAATTTGTAGTTCCCACCTGATCACCCTTGTGAGACAGACTCTTATATAGCGCTGTAGTCTCGTTGTATGCATGTAGGCACAGCTCGTAGAAGAAGAGCTGGGCTGACCGCAGTGACATTCTCCAGGGCCTTGAAGGTGTTGCTTGCCACATGAACGATATATTTTTCTGGGGATCATCGAAGAAATAGCACGAACAAAGACTCCGCGCTAGTCTCGAGCGAGCTCGAGACGCAGGTGTAACCCTGAACAGGGACAAATGCCAGTTTGGCGTCACGAAGATGCAGTACTTGGGGCACATCACCGAGAACAACCACGCACGTCCGACCTGACGAGAACAAGGTAAAAACAGTCACTGAGTTGCCGAGGCCAACCTGACTGAACTCCGACGATTGATGGGCATGGCAACCTACTTAGGTCGTTTTGTACCTATAGCGTGAGAGTTGCTACAACAACTGTCAAGTATATTGTCATCCAAGCAAGACTTCGTCTGGGAGACCGCGCAGGAACAAGCATTTTCAAACTGGACAAAACTACTTTCGTTAGATCCAGTACTCGCGATGTACACCCCGAAGAGTCCAACGAAAGTCACAGCGATGCCTCCTCTTATTGTCTGGGCGCTGTTCTATCACCAGCAAGACAACAGTCGCTACGCTGTCATTGCCTATGTTTCCCGAGTGCTGACCGAGGCTAAACGCCTTTACTCTCAGATCAAAAAGAAAGGCCTTTCTTTCGTCTGAGCCTGCGAGAAGTTTCACGTCTACGTCTGCAGAACTAAGTTTTGCCTGGAAACAAACCTCAAACCTCTTGTCTCGATGTTCGGGTCGAAAGCGATAGACGACCTGACACCTCGACTGCACAGGATCCATATGCGGTTAACGCGGTACGCCTTTGAAATCACGGACATTCCGGACAAAGACATCACCGCCGCTGGCGCTTTTTCAAGGTCTCTGCTCCAAGGGGAAATTGAGGACAACGAGCTGGAAAAAGAGATCGAAGGCTACATAAACCAGCTGTTTTCAACGCTGCCAGTTTCAGCCCCTTCGCTGCAAGAGCTGAAAACGTAACAACAAAAAGATGAGTTCTGCCGCCAGCTCTGCTCTTTCATACAAAAAGGCTGGCTAAGCCGTCGTGACCTTCAGCCTTGCCTAAAGGAGTTCTGACCGCATAAAGGCCAAGTCACCGAAGTCGAAGACGTTGTAATGCATGGCACCAAAATCATCATCCCGAAAAAGTTCCATTGCTGCTCTTCACATTCTGCACGAAGGCCATTTTGGCATATATAAATGCCCCGTGAGGACAAGAAACGTAGTCTGCTGGCCGAAGATCGACACTGACATTAAAAACTTGGTGAGATCATGTCGGACTTGCCTCCAACACAAAGAAAACAGGAATACGCCGCTGAAGCCCACAGAGCTCCCAGAAAAACCATGGCAAAAGGTCGGCACTGGCCTTTTCTTCGTTGGAGGGTCGTGGTGGCTGATTGTCACGGATTACTACTCGAGGTTTCCCGAGTTAGTGATATTCACTGACTTGAGTGGTAACGCCGTCGTCAAGCAATGTAAGCCCATCTTTGCAAGGAACGGCATATTGGACGTATAGTCATCAGTGGCAACGGACCAGAGTTTTTCAAGGAACCCGATTCTTTGTTTGCCATTTTTGCGAAAGAATATGGGTTTAGACACATAACTTTAAGTCGCACAATCCACAGAGTAACGGTATTGCAGAAGCTACCGTAAAAATAATCAAAAAGGGATCTCTCGAAAAGTGGGGCGACCCGTACCAGAACCTTCTCACCTACGCCAGCCCTCTCTTACCTACAGGGCCAGCCCCATCAAGAACGGTTGCTCACATGCGAAGTTGCTAATAGGTAGACGAATCAGAACAACTCTTTCAACTTCTTCAAAGAGCCTGCTTCTTAGTCTCCCAGACAGAGAGAAACCTTACGAAGAAGGAAACAGGAAGAAGCAGAAACACTGGTTTGATTCTCGCCATCGTGTACGAGATGTTCCCGACTTTAACATCGACGCAAACGTCTGGGTTGTGAACCTCGAGAAGTTCGGTACTGTCCACAGCTCAGCTGAGAAGCAGAGATCATACTGGATAGACACTGGAGATGCGTCCATTCGCCGCAATGCGACACACTTTAGGCCCGTTCAGACTGTGCCATTTTGGTTGTTCAACCAAAAACGTTATGCCACCTGACCTTTCCTTGTTAGAAAAGGGAAGATGTGAGACAGACTCTTATATAGCGCTGTTGTCTCGTTGTACATAGGCACAGCTCATAGAAGAAGATAATAAAGAGCTCTGGCTTTCGCCTCGCGCTTCGCGCTGGTCTGGGCTAGAGTTGCTGTATAGGCTCCCTACGGGAGGCTACGGGAGCCCCCCGTAGGGAGCCTACACAAAAACTCTAGGGTGGGCATTCTGTCAAACAATATTAAACCTAACGTCAAGGGTAAGAACCATAAAATGACATCACTCCACGCGCCTGCACAGTACGAGCCCTGGCACGAGCCTCTCGCTGTGTAGTCTGTCATGGTCGCTCGTGAGTTCATGAAACGCGAACCGTTATCATTCCAGAATCCCTAGAAGCATTATTTTGAAAATCGCACTCTGTAGGGGGCAGGCAATCGTCCGAGCCCGGACCATAGCCTCCTATATAGTGCCCAGACATTTCAGGGAAAGGGATATCACACCTCACTACCATCACCCCCCCTCTTCCTCTCCCCCTCCCCCCCCTCCCCCCGCACTGTCTCCTGGACATTTTCTACGGCACTTCCTGACCGCTGGTTTCTTTTTCATGTGTGTTGGTCGTACGCGTTTTTATTTCCCCTCCCCCGGTTTTTCTTGCCATCCCCCGTCGCCCCGTCATTTCTCAAACACCACCGACTTCCATACCCACACCGCCTCTCAGTGACCCTCTCTAGCGTCGCATACATCGCGCACGGCTCCACAGTATCACAGAGTTCAATCTTTGCCTTGATTCCGAAGCGATGATTTTATCCCCAAACGACTCCTTCCCCAAGTTATGAAACGTCACTTTGTCGTCGCCGCGATAACTTCAACAGACAGCGATCTTGCTGAGTATCAGCGGCGTAGACTTTCCATTTTCCGGGGGGGGGGGGGGGGGGGGGGTCAGGCTGAAAACTTCTCCATTTCCCATGTATTTTGTCAATAAAGGCAACGTGGGCGTTATTTTGTTTACATGCCACTACTATAGAAGCTCGTTACATGGCACGTAAACAGCGCCTCAGTAAGGATCATGGCCGGGGCCCGGAGAAGGGGGGGCTCTGCCCCCCCCCCCCCGCCGTATTTCACCAGGGGGAACACGTGCACCGGTGCCCCCCCCCCCCCCCCCCCCCCCCCCCCTGCGAAGCCCGCCTAGGGACAATCTAGACAGCATTGACTCAAACGCGGCGTAGGGATGACAGCATTGACTCAAACACGGGCGCGACGTCATCAGTGCAGCGTTCAATCTTCTGGTCCCACCGTGTTACTCGCTCGCGCTTCAATGAAGCTGGCTACGACTTTGTGTTTCACAATCTGGCTGAAATTTGAACACCGATAGTTTAAAATATTGACATCTCGTCCTGCGTAACACCATCGTCGCGAGAGTCCAATCAGCATACTCCGCTAACTTCGGCCCCAACTTTGTGTTTTACGAGTTCAGCGACCCAACTCTCAGTCATGGATGGATTGTTGCTTCAGGGGGAGAAGACAGTCGTCCCCTCCACTCTTCGTGATCAGGTTGATGATGTAGCACATGAAGCACACCAATGCGTCTTGCGTACCACCAGTTTTATCCAAGAGCTGTATTGGTGGCTTCAGATTAACCAACATGCCAAACCGAAGTCCAAAAGTCGAAACCAAGACAAGCCTGCAAAGGCATCCCCTGCAGCTCTTCACCCAGTTGACTTCCCAACTTGTCCATGGGCATAAATTTGTATGGACACCGTGGGTCCCTTCAAACGAGCTCTTGCTCAAGAGTCATTTCTCATCACGCTGGTAGATTATCACAGCAAATGGCCTGAAGTGGCACCAGCCCATAACGCCATGACTGTCACAGTCATAAAAGTTTTAAAGTCTGTCTTTGCCAGCGAGGGTCTGCCGCAAAAGATCACGACAGACGACGGTTTACAATTTGTTTCGAAGGAATTCAGAGAGTCATGCAAAGCCATCCTATCTTCGTCGCCATGGTCACGGATGGCCACTATGAAACTGTGGGTAAGGATATCGCAAAGCTAAGCAAAGGACAGAGCCTCAGAAGGCCTGCGCAGAAATGAAAAGGCTTACGTGGCGTACGTGGCGCGCGGGACAACGAGAAGGCGGTGGTATGGCACCAAGCAAGGACACCGTGGAAAAAAACAACACTTCAGACCACGTCGGAGGTAGAAACGTGACTGCCGTGTTTTCAACAAATGGCGCAGTGCTTGCGCTCGGTGCGCGAGCCCGCCGCACACGAACGTGGCACGGCAACGAGCGCGCCACGACAACATAGACGGAACACTGCAGGACAGATATCACGTGCTTTACTACGTTGCTCTAACTGCTTGATCGATTATATGCAAGTCAAGGCCACAAGTACGAGCATCTTGCCTTGCCAAAGGACGCACTTCAGCTGCAACTATCGCAAAACATGGAATAACTGCCAAAGCTATGAGCTCAGGCTTATTGCCGTCGCTTGCTTCACTGCGATTTACACG